GTTCGGACGGGCGGGGAGCGCACTGGGCATGCTCAGAGCCCGGGGGCGGGGGCTGAGCGCCGGAAGGAGGAGTCCCCCAGCCCCTGCCAAGCCCCACCTGGCTCTCCGGGCTCCTCCCCCTGCCACCTCCCTGGAAAGGCTCAGGAACAATTTTTTCTTTAGCGTGGTGGAAAAAGTTGGAGTTCAGAGTCAACAGATTGAGTACTCCGATCCTTTGCCAGCTGCTGTGTGATCCGGGGCGATCGCCTACCCTCTCTGTGCTTCAAATGAACGAACACCTACGCTTTGACCTGGGCAGCATGGGGAGGGGGCACTGATTAAAATAAGAACATGAACTTGTTAAACCCATTTTAAAGATCCATTTAATTTTTTTTTTTTGGTGCCGGGGGTTGAACCCAGGGTATTGTACACGCTAAGCGTGGAGCTCTACCATTGAACTACACTCCCAAGCCCAAGATACATTTCTGAGTGCCAGTCTCAGTTATCCGACATCATTCCAGTTTGTCAACTGCTGAAGTAAGGAAACATTCACAGACAGAATTCTAGAGTTGTACCGGTCTTCTATCAACTAGACACAAACCACCTTTTCTTTCCCACTGACAATGATCAGGTTAAGCAGTATCCTTAAATTCAAGCTAGAAATATGCATACACATCGGAGGAAAGACCTAACTAAAGTCTTTAAAATAATTTTAAACCATGATTTCAAGTCGCCCTAACAGGAACAGGATCAAAATGATACAATATTTCTCAAATTGGAAATAAACCAAATGTCCAACAATAAAGAAATGGTTAATTAGATTATGGTAAAATGGATTGAAATAATAACTGTTTCACACTAAATTAGAAAGTGCATGCCCTAACAGGAAGCCTTATGGTACAGTGATAAGTGAAAATGCTGGAAACACAAATAAATTGTGTAAAAATGGTGTTGATCTTTTATTCCCCAAGACTAGAAGGAAAAAGAAATACAGGAAAATGTAGATAATGGCCTGAGATGTTTGATAGTGAAAATGTTTTATTTTATCTATGTGAGCTTTTCTTTAAAGTTTATTAATGTCATAATGTAATTGCAATAATAAACATAAAGATAAAATTTAAATTTTTTTGTTTTGTAAAAGTCTAATAATAATTGCAAAGATGAAGATCCAGGGCCAGGGATTTATCTCAGTGGTGCCACTGCCTTGCAAGTGCAAGGTCCTGAGTTTGATCCCCAGTACAAAAAAAAAAAAAAAAAAAAAAAAAAAAAAAAAAAAAAAAAAAAAAAAAAAAAAAAAAAAAAAAAAAAAAAAAAAAAAAAAAAAAAAAAAAAAAAAAAAAAAAAAATCAAGATAGGTGTGGTCAGGGTTTTACACACATTCTTGCTTTAATCTTTAGAATCCTTACAGCGGGTGTTTTTTTAGCTTGGTTTTACAGAAGAGAAAACAATCCCACCCCTGTTCACAGCTATAAGAGGGTCAGCAAGTCTATCTGACCACTGGGCCAGGGCATTGGGTTATGGTCCACTGTGTCTCGGTGTAGCTTTTACCCTGTATTGATAACAACAGGAGGCTGGTATTATTTCACTTTGTGTCTGTTTTTGCCTTATTTTCTCTATCCTTTGATGTATTTGTAGGTTATGGATTACTCTGAAATGTTCCACTCTCCTGTTACTGTTTTATTCTGAGGGCCAAAATGTTAAAGTCCATCCCTTTAATCTGTTGTGTCTCGTGTGACATGACATTATCAGCAGTGACAGTTGATCTTATATCCTGAGCTCCCAAATCTTATGCAAATGGGCCTTTTGGATGGACACATAATCTTCTTAGTCTGTGGGTAAACCAGCTAGATCTAGAGCAAATTAGGCCCAGCTGGGAATAGGGGCCGTGTCAAGCTCCAGATACCCATGCTGGCCCTGGTCCGGAGAGGACCCGCGTGTATGATTGGCCCCTAGGCAGTCACTTTGGAGGAAGGACACAACACGCTGTAGACTCTTTGCAACCCTGCTGGGATGAAAAGATGATGGTCCTGGTGCTGGGGCCCCTCAGTAGCTCTACAGGGCTCCAGCTGTAGCTCAAACACCAGGAAGCTCTTTCGGTCAATAGTGCTAGCAGACTGTCCCCCGCCCAGAAATGATGAAACAACAACAAATCAGAGGATAATTTCAGTGGGGAGGGAGATGCGCCACACACTAAATGTATGTCATTAGTAATGAACCAGATTCACGAAGGAGTGAGGCATGAGCAAGGAGGACAGTTATTAGCAGCAGTCTCAGAACAGCCTTTGGGCCAGAGATCTGGTACAGGGCACAGAACACCAGCTATTGGGGCATTTATAGGAAGTTTTCTGGAAGAAGCACAGAGGATCAAGTTTCACATCAACACTCAGGAGGTCTGGGCACCAATTGAACCGCTGCACTGATTGACA